GACTCAGACTGTTTTGGCTTCAAAATCCATTTCTGCTCCATATTGTGGGGTTCTGAGCAAGCTTGCGAGACATCTCTCTACCGCAATTTCAACACCTGTGAAGTTAGGATAAATGAGTTCCTGAAACTCAGTGGAAGAGCTCTCAATATCAGCTGTGACGATCATAAGCGTGACAATTCCTCCATGGGTCTGGAGGTGATGGAGGATAGGAGGTGGAAAGGTGTCTGTGCCCCATTTTTATTTGATCATATGAATGCTATCGCCATGTGCCCTGTGCCACAGAATCTTGGGAGTTTCTGAAATGTCTCAAGGAGAGAACAGGTGAGCAATGTGGCATACTTCTGTTTAGGATAGTGGTTCTCAACCTATAGGGGCCGCATATCAGAGATCCTGCATATCAGATAAATGCATAATGATTCATAACAGTTTCAAATTCACAGTTATGAAGTAGCAGTGAAGTAATTTTATGGTTGGGGTCACCATGCCATGAGGAGCTGCATTAAAGGGTCGCAGCATTAAAAAGGTTGAGAACCACTGGCTTAGGAGCAGGCGTCACTCTCCAACTCTGCCTAGCCTGAATGAAAATCAGACAGTGATTAGGAAGCTTCCGTTTACACACCAGCATCCACGAGAGATTCCGCTGTTCGCTCATTTCACCATTGTGTATACAATATGCTCTCAGAAATCTGGAGAAAATAAGACATGTTTTCAAACATCTACCTGTCTGAAGGTAAGTTAAAAAGGCTCTGATGCACCATGGTAGGCACTTATGAAAGACTTCAGACTGGGACACATGGGGAGCCTGCATGGGGTCATCTGACCCAGACTTTGGAGAAAGGCTTCTTCTGAGGAAGAAGAGGAATTAGCTAGACACAGTGGAAGAAAGGTCCCATGCAAATTTATAAGCTGCAAGTAACTGGGTATTGCTTGCAGGCACAGGTCGGTGCCATGAGCTGGGATCTAGTGAGAGATGAGGCCAGAGGGATGGGCAGATGTTAGAGATAAAAAGTGCTGTGTATGTGCAATGGTATTTGGTGCTTATCCTCAAGTGATGACGAGCCGCTCTACTTTGCTACAATTCCCACGCTAGTAAATAGTAAACGCCAGTCTGTCAAGTTGAGAATTAGATTGTGTCGCTTATTTTCTTGCCTGCTATTTTCCTGATATTCCCTAAATGTTCTCCGGATCCTTAGAAACTAAAGCTTCCCTGGAACTCTGGGAAGCTCATTCCACCCACATTGCACCCAAATGAGTTTCTTCTGGTGTTCTGTAGCACAACCGGCTCATCTTCCCCTTAGAGTGTTTGTATAACTTTCCCTTTGTCCAGAAGGCCTCTGTGTCCGGGGAAGCATATTCTGAGCACTGGTCATCATTTGGATTTTGTATAGGCATCACCTTAGAGTGTATGTCCAGAGTGGTCACCAAGGACTTCTCTATCACATATTTAATTTTGTACCTAAACATGTATTACCATTGTTTCATGTTTAATTTTCTGTATTTTCCTTCCCTTCTCTCTCCTCCCTGTTCCAGTCTCCCTATTATTTAGTATCTCCTTGGTGTCACTTGCCATTGGGGCACTAGAATTAGAGCAGCAGAGAAAGGCTGTGCCACCAAGGAGATACAATTAACAAGCGAATTTTAGGACAATCAAACACTCTGAAAATCCAATAGGTCAAATGCCAGAATTAAAAGGCTTGAAAACAACTGGGAAGGAGGAGTCCTGTTTTAGATGGCTCAGGGAAGCTCCCTCTGATAGTTGCTACTGTCCCTCTGATATGTGTTATTGTCCCCCTGATATGCTATTGTCCCTTTAATGTGTTATTGTCCCCATGATATGTGTTATTGTCCCTCTGACCTGTGTTATTGTCCCTCTGACCTGTGTTATTGTCCCTCTGATATGAGCTATTGTCCCTCTGATATGAGCTATTG